TTAGTATGATATTTCTATAAGGGTAATATATAATTATGTATAGTTATATATAATTTTATATAATTGTATATAATTATGTATGAAAAATTTTTTATTGGGAAAACAGCAAATTATAATAAAAACAAGAAATTATGGCTGAAGGGACTGATAAATTGACAGCGCTCGATAATATAAACGAAGTTAGTATATATTATATATGGTCAGCATATTTATATAGGTTATAACCTATAGGCTACTCTTTGTATCTTATTTATTTATATTAAATTGATTAACTTTTTCGTCTTATGTATTTTTTTCATTTTTAATAAATACATCGCTGCAATCGCTTGCAGCAGCTATATGTCGTCTTCAAACTTCACCTATAATCGCCACTGTACATCTATAATATTTTATATATCTCGATTATAACACTCTATTTTTATACTTATTGCAGTTTATACAGGAGGTTAAACGTGGTGAATAGGATATGGGCGACAGCAAACAGCGTTATAACGCTACTTTGAACTATGCTGAAGTGGCGATAAAACGCTAGCTTTTATTCGCTCCATGAAAAGGATACAGGTGATAGCGAACAGCTTTTAAACGCTGCTTTGAACAACGATGGAGTGGGGTGAAACGCCAGCTTTTATTCGCTGCGTGAAATCGCACCTTCACGGTCGCACGTTGGCCGAAGGCATCTTTCTTTCCGCTGCCGCTTTCTGTACGCTAATTTGTTAAGACAAAATAATTGATTTCTCAAAAACTATTGCGAATATCGCAAAATGGCACAGGACTTTCTTGCTCACTTCAATCCGTTTTACGTTCTCACCAAAGGTCACCATGGGACTTTGGGACACCCTGTATAGTTCATGTTACATATATTGTAGGCAATGCGCGTATAATGCGTGAGACGGGATGCAACCTTATTAGAGGCTCTCTAATCTCACCGCTCATGTATTATTCGCGCTTGCGAATAGCTGAGGATATCAATCTTTCGCTGCTGTTGAATTGAATCAGTTCAATTCGTGTCGCGGATCGTGTCGTGACGTGTAGTGCTGTGTCGCGAGCCCGTCCCAACGACACCAGTTCGCCCGATCCTCGTCCTCCTGCCGCAGCAGAGTACCTCGTCTTCGCCGCCGTTGTACTACTTAATCGATGAGCAAGATGGGGTGTGGAATGGGAATGATCAAATGCCTGCTCTTCATATTCAACTTAATCTTCGCGGTAAGTCTCTATCTCTGAGTGCGTTCCGAGTTGCGCATGAAGCGCGTATTTCCTACAGTATACGTGACATAAACTATAGATAAATGCGCGCATATGCATAACACGGAACGCAGCCTCTCTCTTTCCCTCCGAGCGAAATGCGCGCGCGATCGCATGAATGTTCGTTTCGACGTGTCGTGTCCCATGTTCAACGCGAGAATACTGCCTTTTCGACGCTGATATCGCTCTCGATGACAAGTTGAACAATCGCATTCGAGCCCGGGAACCGCCCTTGGCTGGGTCCTTATAAAACAACACCGCCTCCATCGCTCTCTGTCAGGGTGCGAACCCATGTAGCGGAATAGCGGAGCGCGGAACCAATCACGAGCGTTCCGCAGTTTTCGTTGCACGGATTTTCAATCCCTAAGTACTCATGGAGCGGAATGAGCGTAAGCGGAATGAATAGTATGTAACTAAAATGACTTTTAAATTAATGTTTTATTACTCGTTATTAAATGTGTTTTGTATTGTAAATATTGATTGAAAATGTTAAAATCTATAAAATAAGTTTTAAGGCGGTTGTAACTTTTTGAAATAATGACTTGCGATTGGTTGAGCAAAATCCGCGATGTCCTTATTCCGCTCCATGGCAACTTAAGAACTCCTGTTTATGCTAAAAATGACGGGTGTGTATATATATATTATGCATCCATTTTTAATTAATTAATTGTTAAATTCATGGCATAGCGGTTATGTTGTGCTGAATATTAATAAACTTGGCCAGCTGGATTGTTTGTTCTTCTTAATTTGCGGTTATATGGGCCCACGTCTATTGTATGATAGAAGTATGCATATATTACGCAGTCTGTGACAAAACTATTCCGCAGATTTCGTTAAAACTGCTGAAAAACGCGGAACGCTCGTGATTGGTTCCGCTCTCGTTCCGCGCTCCGCTATTCCGCTACATGAGTTTGCACCCTTAGATTTCGAATTCCGTTCGTCCAAACTCAACATGGCTATAGCTCTCGGATGTATATCAGTTGGACACGGGGCAATTGGACACAGTCCAATCACAAGTTGCTGTTCCAAGGGACCCTAAAAATGTCTCTAATCACACGGTGCTGTGATTGGCTGTGTCCAAATGCACCGTGTCCAAGTGCACCGCTCTCATAGCTCTCCGGGGCTGTTCGTCGCGGGAGAATCACTATTAAACTAGAGACCCTCAAACAGAGACTGGCCATTGGGGATCTTCACGCGATTGGCGCAGGGGATGATGGCCCGAAAAGTGGCGGCATTAATATAAGTGAGAGTGAGAAAAAAATATACTCGTCTCACACTACTTATTGCACTAGTGCAGCAGTGCAGCGAAAAAGTACAGACAAACGCACACTCTTAAGTCTATCAGACTATAGATTAAGATTGAGATTGAATTGAAATTTAGTCAATCAGAGCAAAATTCACTAAGCTCATGTTTAGTGAACTTTGCTCTGATTGGCCAATTTTCAATTTAATCTCAATCTTAATCCGTAGTTTGATACGGGCTTTACGAGCTCACGTATTTGCGGCCGCCATTTTTTGGACCGTATTCCCTAGTATAGCCAGTCTCTGTTTGAGTTTAGGCGACAGTTTCCCGAAAAATGGGATAATGTTATCAAAGAAAATCTCTATACGATACAATTTAAATCTGTTCTTTATAACTGCACTGCTGAACTAATGCAAAAGGTTAGAGTGAAAAAACGTATACACTTTGCCTCACTTCAATTTATTACCAGTTCAGCAGTGCAGTTACAAAGAATAGAATCTTTAAATTATATCGTGTAGAGATTTTCTTTGGTATCAACATTATCCCCTCTACTTTTCAGAAAACTGTCGCCTAACCCTTTTAAAGTAATTTTTGCGGTTGCTAAAGTTAAATTTCGAAAAAGACGTGCGTATTTTGCCTTGCATCGCCTTCTGGATGACAATATATGTTAGTGTCACTCTGCTCCCAGTAGCGCACCCAGAATCTTGAAAATAATTTGCCAATATGCCAAAGTCGTGCCTATAATGTTAGATTCATCGTAGCATTGGCTGTGTCCAGCAGAGAAAGCTGCTTTGCAACGGCTGTAAAATTCGTGAATCTGGTTGGAGTATGCTCTTAATTTTGGTTGAATCCAAGAATGTGTATCAATGGTTGCGTTCAGCAGAGAAAGCTGCTTTGCAACTGTTGTAAAATTCATGAATCTGATTGGAGTATGCTCTTAATTTTGGTTGAATCCAAGAGCATGAGATCAGATAGCAATCAAATTCACGAATTTTACAACAGTTGCAAAGCAGTTTTCTCTGCTAAACGCAGCCAATTAGATTCACGAATTTTACAACAATTGCAAAGCAGCTTTCTCTGCCGAACACAGCCAATGCTACGATGAATCTAACGTTATGGGCACGACTTTGGGATATTGGCAAATATAATACTTTGGGATATTGGCAAATAAATATAATTTTTTATACTTCTTTAATGCAATTTTTTCGTCTGCAAAGGTGTATTTTCGAAAATGACGTAACGTGTGCGTATTTTGCTCTGCATCGTCTCTTGGATGACAATGTTAAAGCGTTTTTTCGTTTCGTGACCACGATATCGTTTGGTTGGTTAGTTTGGTCCACTTAATGCTCGCAATGCCTCGAGCAACAAAGATAGAATGACGCTCGTGGCGTTTCGAACGTTAAGTGGACCAAACTAACCAACCAAATGCTACCGTGGTTATGAAACGAAAAAACGCCTCTAATGTCACTCTACTCTTTCGGTAACACGCCTAGAATGTTGAAAATAATTTTCCAATATTCCAAAGTCGCGTTCTTAACGTTGTATCCACTATATCTCACTATATCTCACCAAATTTTCCAGCTAAATTATTGAGCCGAGATTCGAACCGAGTTGTTTGGTATCCGAGTTATTTGTTTCCAGTATTATTCGTATTATTATAAATTACCATTTCTAATAAGATGAATTGTGGGGCAGATAGTGCCTTTTGAGTCACCTTGATATCTTTAGTGATTGCTGAGAAATTCCAGAAATACAAAATTACTAATATGTAATTTGTAATAATATTGACCCTAAAATAATTTCGATAACCAAATATAAGCAAAAATTCGAATTAAGCGCTTCAAATCGACCGCTATTTTGGTACTGCTGTTTGTTGAAAAAAATATCTACGGCATACTTTTTAAGTTAAAGTGTCGGGAACACGTTTTAGACACTTTCCCGAGCGATACTAATACGTTTTTATGGAGAAAATAGTGGAAGAAGAAAAAATTTGCTCTAACATGCGCTTTTTTACTTTATTTTGCAAAAATTTTGCATAAATTACGATTTTTTTTTAATTTTCTCAATTTTCTATTCGATAGAGTGACATCGAAATTGGTAGCAATGATACTTTTTATAAACAACAGGCCTCATTTACGTAGTAAAATAAATCGCTCAAATCAACGTAAAATTTCAGCACATTTGGGTTAAGAAGATGAGAAAAAGAAAGTGAAATATCGGAGACGCGTGATGACGATGTGCAAATACGAGGATGCATTTCTTTCTTTGCAGCTATGCGGCCTGGCCATACTGACCATGGGTGTCGTCGTGCACCGGATACTCACGCACTACGCCGACGCGAATAAGGAGACTGAAGGGTGAGATTGCCTGAAAATTGTGCTTGTTTTTTTACAATTTTTTTATGACAAACTGAATGAATATGCGAAAGTGTTATTTTGACGTGGATTTATACAACATATAAAGAGAAGAAAAATATAATTTTGATAAGCAAATACAAATACTCAATATAAGTGTATGGTACATACAGTTAAAATATATTTCGTTTTTCTTTTTAAGGTCGTCATTTTGCAATAATATCTTGACTCTGGGTGATTCAATTAAACTGAATTCTAGGTAGAAAATTTCCATAAGTTTGTCGTTATTGGGTGAACCACTATAATAGAAATTGAGTAAAAGTTAACAAAATTGCAAATATTTTAATGGAATATTATAAAAATTTTCAGTTTTTTTATAGTAAAAAAATTAATATTTCAAAATTAAATATTTTCATGAGTTTGTCAGTGATTCACCCGATAATAACAAGCTTACGGAAATTTTCTACCTTAAAATTCAGCTTAATTGAACCATGTTCATAAAAATTATATTTTTCTTTTCTTTATATGTTGTATGAATACACGTCAAAATAACACTTTCGCATATTTATTTTCGTCATAAAAAATTATGAAAAAATAAGCATGATTTTCAGGCAATCTGATCCTTTAGTCCCCTTGACGAGAAAATGTGCCCGTGGATAAGTCTGATCGTGATCGGCAGCATAATATTCGTCATCGCCTTCTTCGGATGTTGCGGAGCGATTCGCGAAAGCTACTGTATGACCTTGACGGTAAGCCAACTCGCGAGGAGAAACTTCCTTTCGTCACGCGATTCTCGGAGAAGTCAAAGTTTAATCCTCTCGGCCTTAACTCGCGCACGAGCGCACCGTCATTAATTAAAACACGAAGCACGACGATGAGTTGGTCCGCTGTATTTGTAAACTCGAGATGAGTCTATAAGTCGGACACGTGACTGATTTTTTCTATTGATAAGGTTGGAACGCGAAGATATATTTGGAATCATTGTATTTATAAACGCGTACGGTGGAATTCCCAGAGTTTTCCTGCTCGAGAGGTGCTTTGACATCGCGTTTGATTTATCGGGAAATGATTATCGAGGCCATTCATCGCTGTCTCTTTTCCGGATAGTTTGCATTTCTGTTGTCGACGATCCTGATCATACAAACAGCCTTTACTATCTACACTTTTGTCGTGAGGAATTCCGACGAAATCGAGGCCAGCATAAGGAAGACGTACATTGACGAGATCTTCAACAAGTTCAATAGGGACCAGAAGAGTACAGGACTCATGAACGACATTCAGGCTGTTGTAAGTTCGCCTCTTAAGGAAAGATCAGTCTTATTACTGCATTCCCACGTGCGTACGCTGCTACACACTCCTCATACACACTGTTGATCGACGATCGAATGTGGTTGATTTTAATGTACTTGGTCATGCTCGCATAGATATATTGACAATTTCGTTAATAGATCTGTATTTCCTGACGGAAAACTCTCTTGCAGGTTGGATGCTGTGGTGTGGACAGTTACAGGGACTTCACGGACAATGGTAATACTATCCCCTTCAGTTGCTGTGACGATCTGAAAGAATCTACCTGTACTCCTAACAACGCCAGCAAGAAGGGTTGCGTGCAAGTATTGCAGAAGAGGTTCAAGGACATGAGAACGACAGTGGGTACCGTCGCTTTGGGTACCGCGGTGGTCGAGGTAAGAGTACTTGAGGGGAGATCGAGATGTAGTCGAGGAAAAAATCAATCTCCAAACAAAAACGAAAACGCGATAATAAAAAAGAGTGAAGGAAAAAAAGTAACGAGACGACCGTGAGAAGCCTCGTATGTCTTATAACTCTCGCGATATCCATACGCGTGATCCTCTCTTGCTTTTCAGCTGATTGGCTTCATCTTCGCGCTCCGCCTGGCGAATTCCATCAAGAACGAGCAACGTAGATGCACCTCTAAGAGATTGAGCGATGAGACTATAGACAAAATGATTAATATTGAAATAATAAGATAAAGTCTATTCTCTTTATTGCTTTATGATAATCAAAATTTAAATGTTATATTAAATGTTTCAAAATGATGGCCTCCAGCCCAAGTCTCCATGTCTCCAGCGGAGACAAGCATTGTACCTATCGATGATAGAACGAGTGGCTGACTAACATTGTGCTTCTGTAATTTCTTCGCACGTTTGCACAATTCTTCGTTGTAATGATTGAAGGTCATTAACAGGCACTCCATACACTTTTTGCTTCAGAGTATTCCATACAAAAAATCTAATGGTGTTAAAACCGGTGAACGCGAAGGCTAAGCCACTGATTATAGTACGAGGATACAAGTTTATCCCACGAAACCATTCGGCGAACTGACAATTATTTGGTACGAAAGGAAAGAGCTTTCTTTACAGTGCAAACGAAAGCCTATCAATGACCTTCAATCTTCAAAACAAGAGCTATTTCAATATTATTCAGTCGTACAGTATAGTATAGTATAGTATAGTTCTGTAACTTAAGATGTCGATATCTCTTGAACGAAGCGTTTGTGAGCAAACTTTAAGAGGAAATTTTTGTTCGTTTTGAGAGAGAGCTCCTAAATTTATATTTAAAGTTTGGCCGTTTAACCCGGAAACATCTTGTATAATAAGTAAAGTGCGCCCGTGAAAAAGAGAGTCAAGACAGAGTCACTGCTCAGAGTCTTTTCTGGAGCACATTGTAAACCGATTAGAGATTCGATAGAATAAAGATAGTAAACGTTAACCTGAGAGTACCTGTAAGCTGTTGTGTAAAACCGATTAAGACGATACGTTTGTTCTTGTGTTTGCATAGTTACTAAATAAGTGTATTAATGAATTGTTTGTGATATTATGGGTGTTTCCAAAATGTCCATGGTTGGGTCAAGTTGAGTTAGTTCCACTATAGTATCCGTTACATATACTACAGTGGAACTAACTCAACTCGACCTAACTCTGGGTATTTCGGAAGCACTCATTAACATTCGTTTATTATATTTAACGGACTCCTCAACGCTTCCTTTAATTGAATAATGAACGCTTGTTCCGTCAACGGACATTCTGCAGTCGGGAAGTTATCCTGATCTTACACTACAAAGTGTAAAGGAAGAAGTAGTGCATTAACGAGGGACGCCGCATCGCGCGGGAAGCTTTCAACGCGCAACAACAATCTTGATGTCATCCTACCGTCAGCGTATTCGCTTATAACATGTGATAGAATACTTACGCTTTATAAGATGATAAATTTTTTTCTTTTTTTTTTCGAAGAGAGCGAGATAAAGCACCTCGTTTCTTCTTCGAGTTTTCCCTCGTTTCGCCAATCGTGGCCAAAGTGCAAGCGTATTTATGACAGGAACAGAGACGGAATAAATATCGAACAGAGACGTTCTTTTCTTTGTCGACTGGAAAAGTTGAAATTTAATGTGAAGCTCGACGTATGACCTGGCAATGAATGTTATGATTACTATTATGAGTTCGATACTATCTTTTTTTTATTTTCGTACGGAAATAATCTCTTATTTATACAAGTATAGATATACAGAGTGATAATTGATCGAGCAACCACCGTATACGGGTAGAACGGGTCAAAATAATCATAAAAGTTATGTATCATTTTGAAATTTTCTCAATATTTATTCTGTAATTAATTAAAATATATAAATGAATGAGCGCATGAGAAGCGGTAGGACAGGCTCTGTATGTAAAATAAATGGCTTTGACGGCTTTGACGGAGTAACGTATACGTGTCGCTTATAACTCCGCCTCGAAATCAGCTGTTTACTCATCATTGCTAAGAGGTAAGCCATTTCTTTTATACACAGAGCCTGTCCTACCACTTCTCGTGCGCTCATTCGTTTATACATTTTAATTAATTATGGAATAAATATTGAGAAAATTTCAAAATGGTATATAACTTTTATGATTATTTTAACCCGTTCTATCCGTACACGGCGATTGCTCGATCAGTTACTGAACACCCTATATACATATGTACGACTATTTTGATACGATATCGCGTCGATTCACGTCTATTCTCGAATCCGTAAAGAAAGAAAACAAATTCGTTACGTAATTCAATTCTGCACAATTCTTGGGATCATTTTTTAGTGTGCTCGTTTGAACAATAGTTTGCGCGCTTTCTTTTTTCAACGAAACAAATGCGTTCAAGCCGTTTTTGCGACAGAGTATTTAGTCGTTAACTGACCGGAGACAAATTGAAATGGGGGAATGAAAAACAGACGAGTGATAGTACTTTGTTATAGACAGAAAAAAATAGAAACAGAAAAGTATTTTAATCTACGAGAAAGAATTCGTCGCTGCCGTGCTTGCGTATTTTGTCGCGAAGCGTACGACACGGCGTGACGATATAAAGCTGGGCGTGGCAAAGAAAATATGTAAATAATTTTATCCAAATAAAGTGTCGATTTTATTCATCGTTTATTCGCATAGACATTATGTGACATCGCTGGACCAATTATTACCGCGGCTCGCGGTTTGATTATTCATTTCGCCGTTTTTCCAATTTTTCATCGTCTTCTCCTTCGATGGTCGACATTAACCATCGTGCACACACACGCGATTGCCGTTATTAACGTTGCTGTTGCTTTCGCTGCAGGGCAAAACTATGTGTGTGTGTGTATGTGAGTGTATATGTATATGTGTTATATGCGTGTGCCCAGCTCTGTACATTCATTAAATAAACGTAGACAACAACAATCGGTTACAAGTGCTTGTTGGATTCTTCTTCTTGGTTTTCTTTTTATGTTCGTATATTGTCGTTATTTATTAAGTTTCAAGAGAGGATAACTTACATCTGCGTGTTGAGCTATGATACATACTATGTACAAGGTCACCATTCGTCGTACACACCGAGTCCTCGTTTCGCGCGATTATCGTTTGACTTTGCTGCTACGGGGAGTTCCGGCTCGATTGGGAATAAAACGGGCGGACGCGCGCTGTGCCGACACCCCAGGGTAGAGAACTTACAAACATCTTAAAGCTATAATCATTAGTCTATTATTCTCAGGCTGCAGGACAGGAGTTGTCTCCTCGGGAAGGTTGTTCTCTGCTCTCTTTCGTTCTATCTTTGATATTTTATTTTACTCTTTCTCTGCGCAATCGGTTTTCTACGTTATCGTTATGAGATACTCGAATAAATAACGACCTTTTCATTGAAAAATACAGTATAGTCATAGGGCATTATGGAAAATAATCTTGGATAATCGAGTCTTGGAATCGTCGCTAATTGGCGCCAATTAACCCTGCGCTACGCATCGTTATAGATTGTAATTCTTTTTTTTTACATAAGCGCGCGAACGAAAGTTCTCTCGTTTGCTACGTTTACGCTGTTGTTAACAGATAATAACGACAATCATGTTTAAAATCGTTTCTCAGTTACTTATACTCTCAAAAGTCAAATGGGCTTACCTTACGACTTAAATATTATCGTGACCATCTAATAATGCAATATATGTAGATATCACGATGATCGCAACTTGAACGTTTTTGAATATTTTCGAAATGTTATCTGGAAGTAAACGAGAAGTATCCTGACAAGCTGCGAGGTCCGGAATAATAAATCTTTAGAACGATTAGAGATAATTCTCCGGTCTAGTCCAAAGTTCACTTAATAATAGATAACGCGCGCATGTCGCAGGGTCGATAAACGCGATCGGGTCAGATCCGCGATTGTAAAGGGATTGAGAATCGTCTTTCACTTGCTTGACTAGAAAAGCAGCAACGCGAGCAAACGCGGGACAACCTGACGTCCGTGCAGCCTCCATTTTGAAATATTGAACGTACTCGTCATGCGGGTATACAGCTACGTGTAAAATATCTCGATCTCTATCGATTCGTTACCCTAAAGCTTATGTACGCTAGTGATATTACTCCTAACTCGATCAAACGCAGAGAAATTCGTTCGCTTTCGTGACGACGAATTTCGTACAAATCACACCGAAGTAATCCCTACCTTCGTTCATACAACAAAGTTATCTTCGTTACCTCGTCAACTTATTTTGTTTTCTAAGCGCAAATGCCTCTCTCTCTCTCTCTCTCTCTCTCTCTCTCTCTCTCTCTCTCTCACATGCGTACACACACATGCACACACATCGTCATCCACTATATTACAAAGTTCGGAAGCGAAATATACAGGCTCGTGTTTTACGCTCTTACATTTCTAAGGACAGAAGGAAATAGTTCGTCACGCGTGGACCGAGTTGTATCGACTAACGATCGCGGCTCTTGACGCTCGTCAACGATTCACGACTGGGGAAAGTACAAAATATCTAGCGGTTCATAGAAAATCGACGAGTGACTTCTTAGTCTACGCTCTCTGTTTAAGCTCATTTTGGAAGGTGCGCGCCGCGACACGCATGTTTCTTCGCACGAGTCATTATGATGATTCGATAACGACTCAATACGCGTTTCCCTTAACAAAATTCAATTTTTCTGACAATCAAAAATCGTGTTTATTAAGTGAAATCTGCCGGTTCTTTCGCAGTGAATCTACTTTTGTGTCACGAAACGTTTAAAGAATTGATCAAAAGAAAAATAGGATTTTCGCGGGATATATAAATAATCTTTTGACAAGGCGAGGAGAGAATATTCATAGAAAGAGAATTTTGTCTCCTGATGTTTTTGAGCTGTCGGAGATCCTGCCTTTCGTAACAACGCCGCGACACGCGATATCCGCGAGAGTTTCATAAAACGATTACAGGATAAGTTCTACACCTACGATTACGCGTCGCCAATGTGCGTTCACTTCGGTGAAGAGAGCCTTTCGATCGTGGCGATTCATGTCCGTCGTACACGCTTTTTAGTGTCACAGGTCGACCACAGCTTACATAATTCTTATCGCTAATTCTGTGACTAATATTTATTCGCATGTACTCACTATTAGATTCTTTTCGTTCGGCGCATCGAGGTGCAGAAGGAAAGCGAGATGATCGTGTCGTCTAGTCGTTTGAGATTGAGAAAGCTATTTAAGGCTACCTTTATCGGGCCTGGATAGATCCAGACAGGAACTCCAGTCTGAATCGATCTGTTCTCGTCGGTCGGATTCCACCTTTGCTTGCCTCCGACTGCACCACGATGCGTTATTTGTATCTCGAATAAGAGGAAGCTCGCAGAGAAAAAGACAAGACGGACTCTTGTCTGAAAACAATAAATCTATCCCGACGCGCCTCGAAGTTACCCGACCTCGGCTCCGCTTATCATTCGGCGAAAAACGCGACGCGACCGCGAGATCATGAAACTCGAGGCGCAGTGAGCGAGATGTTTATAGAGTAATATACAAATCATTCTCACGCCGTAAAAGGTGATGGACGACGTTCGTCGTTTCAACGCACATTTGCAAAATAACGAGTCCTCGTTGACGATGAGGCGAGTAGTTCACAACTAGGCGATCGCTCGCGAATAGTTGCGCACCGCGTTAGATAGGATCAGACGGTCAGGTCATTTAGTTTGCCATTTTGATTAGCTATGCTTAACGAAAGAAGATTCAACAACCTGTGACGAGTCTCTTCCCGGTGATTCGCGCGCTCCTCCGCTTGGAAATGACGTTTTCCTCGCTTTTACTGATAAATGTAATTCTCACACTTGTAAAAGAAAAAACGGTTGAACTTTTGTGATAGAAAGATACGAACTAAGCTGGACTCGTGGAGTACTTGAACTCTAAAGAATCGAGACAACGCGCCGTTCGCGCCGATCGGGAAGAGCTCTCGCGTCTGGAAGAAATCGGGGCTCGCTCGCTCGTTCGTTCGTTCGATAGGCCGTCGTCGCCGTCGTCGCCGTTGCCGCCGGTGCCTCGGGATCAGCTCTAGGTTAGCGGCGAGAGCTTCATGACGTCGCTGTGGAGGTCGGCAGACGACGCGTCGTCCGGGTCGAGCGGGCTGCCGTCCGAGCCGAGCGAGGAGGGCGCCGCGACGAACTCGTCGAGGAAATCGAAGGAGGCCACCGCCTCGCGCTCCTTGTCCCCGTAGCGCACGAAGAAGTCGTCGCCGCGGCCGATGATCGATGGCCTCGACGAGCCCCAAGTGGACGGCAGTCGGAGGACGCGGTGCGCCTGGGCCGCCGACGCTGAGAAACCAAGGGCAGCGGGTCAACATGCCTCAGACTTGACTCGATCTCTTTTCTCTTTCTCTCTCTCTTCCTATACCGGCTCTAGCAGACACAGAGTAGCTCGGCTTAGCACTCTCTTTCACGTATACACGTCCCTCTCTCTTTCTCTCTTTCTTTTTTCTCCCCATCTTGTTCTCACTCTTATTATTATCTTTTCCTTTCTCTCCCCTTCTCTCTTTCTCTCGCCTCCTTTATCCGTCTGTCTATTCTATCGTCTCTCTTCCACCGTCGCCCCACCGCACCGGTTATCACTCTCCTTCGCGGACTTTACGTTTTTCTTTTCCGTTCTTTTCTTTTGCTTGGAATTTAGGTACTTGGCGGGTGCACGACCGAGTGGATGATGCATGATGCACGTCAGACAAATCGCGCAAGACAGTTTGTTTTGCGAGTAATCCGCTCGTACGAGGGATCTGTCCGCTCCCGCACGTGAAAGATAGCGCTAAGCTTCGGTTAATCAATTCGGTAAAAAAACATATAATACATATATATTACAATTGATGATTCCTAAAAATATTCATTCTGTGAGACACAATTATCTCCCCTGATATAGTAGAATATCTGTCCTCGGACGAGAATTGCTTCTTGGACACGCTACGCGCCGCTTGTCTGACGTAGTTTGCTGTACATGATTGTGAATTCGCCCGCGGAGACAATGACAAATCAATTAAAATGTGATTAGGGACGCGTTACTTCCGTGAAAAGGAAAAATCCAACCGTCCGATTTGGTTACACAGCTCGCGGCGAAACAAAGCGTAATTAAGGAATGCGATGAGGTTAATGATCAAACGCAGGCGTGTGACAAAATGAGGTACAGAAAAATGATGTACACAAAGAGGAGGATGAACAGCGCTGAAACGGTCTTGCACGTGCCAATAAAAATTCGATAGTTGTCGACTCCACTCGCACTTCACATATCGAGAGAGAAAGTAAAGTATTCTCGATTTACCCTGACGCAATTCCACGAGACTCTTCTAATATTTTTTTCAGCGCGTTCTATGTAATATCCGTATTCTTGCATCACGAACGCCTTGTACGTGTCGCTCATAATTGTGCATACGTATTTTGAATTTTTGGAAAAACGCTGGAACAGAGATACGCACACCAATTTATATTCGCTCTCTCGTCCGAAAGTCTTTGGGCATTCTCGTCGCGCTTGGAATTTCGTAATCGTACGTTCGTGGATAATATATAGTCGCATCCGTAAGAGCGCGTTGCTTATCCAAAAGGAAGAGCACTTCTTTTGATTACACGTTACTCCACCTCAGTCCGTCAGTTTTGATTAAAATGTACATCCACGATGAATAGCCGCCCTCCCTTTTATACTTAACGCGCTTTCAGTATTTCGTTCCCAAGATTTTCGGACGACGGCACGTGTGCCAAGTAGGTCACATGAATATACGCGCACACGCATACGCGAGACAGGAGATGGAATTGCGTGAAGGCGCTTCGCCAGGAACGATTCTCTTCCGGTTAATAATTCTGTTAGTAAACCAATGAAGTAAGTCCGTCGCAGTCGTACACAGAGTTCACGTGGTGTGCGAGGCCAAAAATAGGTCCCGGCGGAATGTATTCCTCCCAATTGGCATGTCGCTTACAGAAACTGATCGTCACTAAGCCGAACTACGTAGCTTTTCTTGTGACAATCAAAGCACACCGCGTAGGAGCTACCATCTGAACAAAAATATGGAAAAGGCTATGTACAGCGAGGGCTACTAGGCGCGCGAGCGTGAGAATAGTGAGTGGTGGGTGCCGATTCTGTAGATTGTTGTATCTTGCGTATGTGTTGCGAGTATGATGTCGGCTTCGATGTCGTGTATGTTAACACTTTTGCGACCAATGACAAGATATTATCCTGAAAGGAAAATACCTAAGAAATAATAAATATTTATTCGGCGATATAAAAGAACTTAGATTTAAATACATGTGTTATCAGTAGCCACCGAATAAATATTTGTTATTTTTTAGACATTTTTTCTTAGTGTAAATCCTTGTGTGATTAAAAAACCGTAGACATTGAGTATTGAGTCTTCTTCGAACGAAGCTGAGCTACAAATGGGCTCAGCCTATCAGCTCGTTTATTCACCGGTCAGTAAAGTGTTAACTCTAGCCAGGTGTCGTAGTGACGTGTGAGTGTCGTTGTTTGAAGCTTACGGGAGCAAGCGCTGTTCACCACCTACCGAATCCTCGGAAGCGTCGTCGAGTTGGTCTCCTCCAGCGTTGGATAGCCATACGCAGTGACAAACGAGTGTCTGAATCATTACTTCTGTATTGAGAGAACGTATGAATGTCCAACACTGGAGTTCCATTAATCGGAGTGCTTCAGGCTCAAGCTTCTTGCACACTATTAACGCTGGTCGGTTAGTGCATTTCGTACGTATATAGCGAGACAATAACCTCAAAAAGCGTAATGAGGGCGGTTAATGATAGAGAAAAGTATCAGTGAAGATGAAGCGTTGAGAGAGAATAACGGACAGAGAACGCAAGTAGTCGAGCTTGTGAGCTTCGCGCGAAAAGGTGGCGGTGAGTGGTGATGCGCGAAACGGCACGCGGCAGAAGTGTCTACGGAATATAGGCGCCCGACTAAATACCTTTCTTTTGTCGTCGGTACCGGTGTAATCTGTGCAAGTGACGGTAATCGGGCGGCTCGTCCCCCGAGTCGCTGCCCGCCGAACCGCTGCTCGACGTCGCCGAGGAACTTTCGCTGCTTGCTAACATCACATCTAAGAGATTGGCTCTGGCCTAAATCAGAATATTACGTTTACAATCGCGTTGAGCAATGAGCATAGATAAAATTCAATCTGCTTACTTATTCATCTATTAGATTGATTCAAAAGTCTCTTCCTCATAAACACTAAATAGATATTGATGCGGAGAAATCATGTTTTAAATAGAAATACATAATGTTGACAAATGAGAAATATGTATTGTATGGGAAAAGATTTGTCAATCAATCTAATATCTATCGACGGGCAGCGCGCACCTTGGGGTCGGTGAAGTCAATGTCGCGTTCAACGTGAACCCATCCTGTCGGGCAGCAGCAAGCAAGGTCCAGTTTCTCCAATGCTACCTGAGACTCATTGGTAACGGCGTTGTCCTCGCCTTTCCGAATCATGCGATTCAACTCGTCTATAACGTCTTTGGACGTGGCGCGCTCGTGGAAGCTCAAAGTCCGGTCCCTACCCTCCACGAGGAGGGTTGCTCGCGCCGGGCTGACCTGCAAAAGCATGTGCGATTGTAATTATATCGGATGGAGGGTTGTTATATTAATTAGTCGCGTTACATCGTGAGAAATCTGTTGCATTTTATGACACGACACGAATGACTTCTTCTTCTTTGTTTTTATTTTCCTTTACATTGCAAAAATTAGAACGCGGAATAATAAAGTGTAATTTCTTACGACTGTACTGGGTGTGGAGGAGGTCGCGGCTTCCTCATCTTCCTCGGGCACAGCTCCCAATTCTGACGGCGCGACCGTCGTGTACGAGATGCCGCCGTTACACGACACGGCGCTCACGATCCTCTCCTCGGGTGCCAACGGCGGCACCTGTATTTGATCGAGCAGCTCGTCGTTGCTGCTCATCTCGGTCGCGTTCCCGGTGTTGTTGCTCTCCTGAGCGACCGGCCCTTCCGCCTCGGTGATCTTCGTCTCTGCCGTGGAATCGCTTTTGCTGCTACCTACTTCTATAACTGTTGCAGTTTAAGATCTATTTAGTCATCTTCTAGCATTATCAGCAATCTCAATATTTTATTACGTTTACTTTTCAACCTTTTCTTTCGTTTCGTTATACAAATTTACCCTTCAATTTGCGCCTTATATTTCCTTTCTCCGTTATAATTATTGTATTAGCAATAATTTAGTCGAGCTTATAGTCGAAAGTAAGATGATTAACCTTCGGTCGAGTGAGACGCGGCGTTGTGAGGTTCCACGGGATTGTTCGGCAATTCCGCGAGGTACATCTGCTGCTCGGCGATGAACGACAGGACGCTCTGAAGCGCCTGCTCCCTGTCCGGCGGCGGTCTCCCGCTCCTGGACGACGTGCTGGCCAGGCTCTTGGTGCTCTCGAATTTCACCAGTCTGTAGAAGTCCCTGGTGAAGTCGGTGCCGATTGAGGGTGTGTCGGGATCGTCGCTGCAGCCGGAGAGCGCCGCCGACGACCTCTTGCTCGAGTTCTCCAGCACTCCCTCTTCACTGCTCCAAGACGCGCCGGGACTCGACGCGTACGGCCAAGGTCCAGTTGCCCTCGCGTCCATCAGAAGTGCGACCTGCATCATGATCACAGCGATGAGTTAGCAGAGGCGCGATTATTCGGGATTGGAATAATTCTAGCTAGCGCATGCAGACGTCAAAATCAATCGGATTTCGACGGACTGGTCTCGCCCACGGCACGTTAATAATTTCGTTCGGTTGACTGAGCGAGAACGTAGTCGTGGTCGATCGATATTGCGCGCGCGCGATCGATGAACATACCAGCTCCCCTCCGGCCCTGTCGGCGAGATAACTCGCGCCGTTCCACAGACACTCGTTCGCGTCCTCCTCCAATTCCAGGGGATTATGCTCCTTGATTGCCGGCAGAGCGGGCGTGTTTGTAGCCGGCTCCTTCCACATCGCCGATTCATTTTGCACGAGGTCCTCCGTGGACAACGAGAAGCTCCAATCCTCCAGCTCCGCCCTGTCGTACTCTAATTCGAGCAGGTCTCGATGCTGTTGCGCGCTTCTGCTGTCGTCGAGCCTGAAAGTCACGATTATACTTCCTCATTGATATTAGCATCTTCAGTTTCTTATTAATATTAATATAAATATTAATAGCGAACGGATTAACATTAGAGCAAAAATCAACGAGAGTCTGTCAAAGACCTCCAACGAGAGACTCGACAACATTGAGATGCATGTAACGACTGATGTTAAACAGTCATGCGTGTCCAGCCCGTTTTGCTTTCTCACGTTCCCCTAAATCAGAGTTCCACAATCCAATGCGATTACACGCGCTTGTCCTGCAAGGACACGTACACTGAGAGATACGGGAGGGGGTGGGGGCGACAAACCTGAGCCATTGTTGCACGTACTCGGCGTCCCAGCCCTCCTCCTCCACCAGCAGCAGGGAGGACGATCCCATGGGGCTGGGTAGCTTGTACGGCGTGAAATTGGTGGTAGTGGTGAGCTTGAGGCAGAGGTGGCTGTCGGAGAAGCTGCGCATCACGTGCTGATAAGGCAGCAGCTCTTTAGTGGGTGGATAGCTGTGGCGCGGATTGATGCCCACTGTGAGGTTCAGAGGTAGAAAAAGAACGTCGGGGTCGCCGGCGTCGAGGGCGACGAGACGCGCGTCCGGCGACACGTCGGCCTCGGTCTCGTCAGTGGCCTCCTTGAGGTCCTCGAGGCCGCGCGATGGCTCTTGACGCGTGCCCTCACCCTGAACGTCACTGGACATGGTTGAGTAGCCCTCGTCCCGGTTACCGCTCTCTGGGCTCTCGCTACCCTCCTCCTCCGAGGGCTTTTGCGCTGTAAAACGGTTCTCGATCGTGCACAGTTCCGATGCGGATGAGAAATTGTGGGTCGCGAACGCGAGGAGGATAGAGAGAACGGCGTACGGTTGCGTTTGATTCGCCGTTTAGTTAAGTGTTGCTTGAACTTGAAAAGTCTTTGAATTTCATCAAGTGAAGTTTTACTCAAAACGAGACTGAACATTCACTCGAAACGAATTTGTTCTTGTGACAATGAAATACATCAGATTCACTCTTCGATTTCAAGTGAAAATATTTACTCGACGATTTATAGTGAAGAATTCATTTTATAGTTTTTTACTCACACAAATAAACTATACTTTTTCACAAATAAATTTTCAAATATTTTTCCTCAGTATATGTATGAAAAATTACAATTCTCCAAACTTCGAGTGAAATTCCATTCCAAGAAATTTAGAGAATAAGAGATGAGATATCCGGGAGGGTACCGAGAGGTCTGCTGCGTCGACATTTGGTGGCTGCCATCACGGGTATCTGCAAGTTTAAGGAACGGGGCCTCGAGAGGGGCACCCAGGATGGATCCAAGCCCAAGGCGGCCACCAGAGCGGCTGGACCGGCCTCGAGAATTCCTTGGATCAGTTCGGTGGGGCTACCAGGACTGGCAGCCTGCGCCAACAGTCCCGACAGTGCTCGGTTCTGAGCCTCGAGCTCTCGTATACGTCTCTGCAATGCGCCTATTTCCTCTCTGAGACCCTGAAAACAATCCGCCCACCGGCAATTAGTACTCTTTACTCTAATGGTCTTCTCGGCAATACATCAAGTTCAAGAAGCGCATCAGCGGGTTAGGGGAAAGCGTGTTAGCGACGGCTTAATCCCTTCGAGACGATTTCTAAATACAAAAAGATACATTTACGTGATTTAACCAGCACCATGACGAAACCTAATCGCGTGATCTTACCTGCAAATTGTGCTTCTCATGCAATTTGATCTTTTGACGAGAAATGAAATGTAAATATGTGAAGGATGAGGATAGTGCGCGCCTGTAGTATTCTACTAGTTTCCTAACAATTTTAATAAGAGCTTTCAATAAAACAATCTTCATGATAACGTCTGCGTAGAAAATTCTCCGAGAATTTTTTGAAAATAGTATCCACGGTGTCTCGAAAGGGTTAATATTCCCGAATGATATCCTGTAATACGCGTCTTCAGGGCGCGGCAGAGCTGCGGGTTGCTCGGAAGGGACGTGATCGTGTGAGACAGTGAGAAAAAGAGACGAGAAAGAGAGAGAAAGAGAGGACGTGTGGTAACGAGAGCATAGCGATGAACCTTTTGGGATAGGAGGGCGCGGACCACCTGGTTGGCGACGTCGTCCAGGCACCGCTCGTACTGTCGGCGCTGGGCGTCGGCGTCTCGCGCCAAGGCCGCGTGTTCCGTCTCCAGGGTCGCCAGTCGTGCCACCAGCGCGGCGTGCACTTCACCGGCGCATGCTGCCTCCAGGCCGCGCAGCTGACCCCGCATCGACTCGTTCTCCAGCTGCAGCTTCGAGATCTGCGCCTGGTACTGGTGAACGCGTGCCTGCGAAAAACACACGGTCAGTGTTGTCTCTGTGTGTTTCGCGCGATTGCACACGCGATAGCTATTACGAGTAATATTTTATTCAGTCGTACGGTTGATTAGTGTAATGCGCAATCTATCGTAATAGAGCGTATATCGAGAGATATACCGCACGCGCGCATACTGAACGCATGACTGGTGTCTCTAATTATTATGAGTCCTCATAACGCCGCATAGTTATTATTAACAATATTTTATTCATGCAGCGCGCAGTAACGTGACGATTATTGTAATCCAAAATCTATTACGACAGCGCAGAAATGATCGCGGTCGCGCGTACCGCAAATTAGCGTCGCCGTTTACGAGGTGTTGCAATGACACCGGCTAATTATCATTTATTATTGGTCTTTTATTAATTTAACGTCGTAATGATCGTTATAATTAACTAACGTTGCGCGCGACGATTATTAGTATCATAATTGTCGCACCACGGAGAGAAATGCGAGACCGAAAAATTGCCATTAATCGGCGGGCCATTCGACGTTCGTGACGACTTGAAGCCCATTTAAAGCGCTCAAGGATCGTAATCCCAATCTTAATTTGACGTAAAGGCGACGACATAAAATTTCGCGAGCAAAGGCGCCGCGAGATGTACGTCCCGTAAATATATCCCGCCCATTATTGGCGCGTATTTGAGCTCAATTCCCAGTGGTCGTTAAAATTTAGGGACTAATGGGTTGTTCGATTCTATCAAGCGGTTGGAGAGAGAGTGACTCACTTCTCTCTCTCTCTCTCTCTCTATTCCATTCTACTCTACTCTCTTGATCTCCGCTGGGACCTTGCTTACGTTAAAAATATCGAATTCAGGCTTCTTGACATGACGGTCGCTTAAAGAATTGGACAATATTGCGGAGATTTAAATATCGTGCGCAACGAGCGAGCCGACACACGCTTCTCTCCTCGCAATTATCTCGACAACAACGAGTTCTCGTTATAGAACGGAACACACACCGCTCTTAAATGATTCATTCTTAAAATACCAGGGACTTCCGACAGCCTGCTTATGTCCATTCTTAAATGGGAATAATTACGGCAGACGCTCGTGACGATTGCCATTTGCCGCTCAAATTATCCGTTCTCGCGAGGATACACGTGGAGAATACTCATGTCGCAGTGAAGGATTGCCGCGTGAACGCGCGAGGCGCTCGTCCGGGTATGACGACCATGGACGACTCGTCTCTTTGTTCCCATTGCTTCATTAATTAAAGGAGATGCTGGATGCCGACATAATGCAGTAGTTCGCACCATTCCTCTATTTGGCACAAAACTGCAAACGTATTTGCAGAAGAAACTGTACAAATATCAGTACATGACAAGGCACCAAATATCGTATAAAAAACAGAAGTTTTTAAATAAAAAAATTCTTTTTTATAATATTTGGTGCCCTTCCATATGCACTGACATTTGTACACTATGGGTCGGTTTATCCAACCTCTTGCTAAGCTAACTAACAGTTAAATCTTATGTCTGTTTCTATCTAATTTAAAGTAGAAACAAAGACAGACGTATGAGTTAACTGTTAGTTAGCTTAGCAAGAGGTTGGAAAAACCGGCCCTATGAGAGAAAAAATATCTAGCAAATAAAAAAATATTTATTCGGTAGATACCAATAATAATATTTACTTCGAAATAAAAAAAATTCTCTTGTATTTAAATATAGCTAAGGTTAGACGCTAAAGTTCTAGGAAAATGCGTCATTAATATCCACCGAAAAACATCTCTTATTTTTTAAATATTTTTCTTTTCTGCGTGTTTTTACTGTATAAAAGCATCGTTTGCAATTCAATGCAACCAAACAGAGAGAAACAGTGCGAACTACGGAACTGCCGGCATCCAGCGTTCTCTTGACGACTAATAATATCTTACGAGCTCATCCAAAGTTTTCTTACTAAGTGGTTACTTCGCGAAATGTACTAACTGGACGATTCTAATCCCCATTTTTCCATTCTACAGACTTTAACCTTCGGAAACTGTTTCCATGGATTTCTGCTATAAATGTTTTATAAGCAATAATTTCTTTATCAGACACAAGTTTCTCAAGTTCTTCTCAAACTGTCGTGGCTATTACTCGCGCGGCGTTTTCCTTTCCCTCCCTCTGCTTCTGCGATGCTTAATTTTTAATATCATCGGATATAAGAAGGCTCGCTTTACACCTGGGGTCCCTGAGTTATCCAAACCCACCGTTGCCGAGAGTTTCCTTACTCGCCGCTCTCAAAACGGAAGTAATTACGTTGCGGTGCTCGTGACCGTTCGCCACTTCTATTATACCGTTCGCCTCGAATCGCGAACGACTCGGGCTTTCAAAGGTAAAAGAAACGAAAGAGAGAGAAACGAAAGAACGAATTGTTTAACGGCGATGAGCTTTTCCGCGACCCGGCCGGTACCGAACGATAATAACCAGCCGTTATTAGCAGAAAGGCGTTTAACGTTGAATTAGAGCCGCGGAGACCTCTGTCGGGGACAGGGGTGCTAATAGAGGGTGCGTGTGTCTGATTTATAACACTCGGCCCTTGCTAACGTCCGCGCACCCCCGCATCGCGTCGAGAGAAGCAACGATTTTCTGTCGTTCCCCGGCCCGAGGGGGAATAAAAATGCGGACCGGCCGCCTTCTGCGAATTCTCGCCGACACATGTGTTAGTCCTCGCTACACAGGACGTTCCAGAAAAATCGCGTCCCAACTTAGCGCGAGTCGATTGATTTTCCTTTCAAATTGACGGGACAAAAGAAATCCAATCAAGCTGAGTTGAGATTTTAGCCCTACTTTCCGCGCGTGCTCGAGTTGTTTAACATCTATATATTCTGAAGAACGAGTGTGTATTTAAAACCCGTCTCACTTGACGCAGAAAACGTACAAGATGCCATTCGTGACTTTTAAAGAGGACTTCTCAGCAAAGTTGGTAGATTAAGTAGAAAAAAAGATAAAGTAAAATCCAAAAAGTTTGACGTAGCTTCAGAATGGCAAAATAGGCGTTAAATAGAATAATGAGGTTGAAAGAGTAGGATCAAAATTTCGCAAAGTCGGATTGAATAAAATTAGAAATATACTCCTTTCTCTTCCAAACGTATACAATGAAGCGGGACACTGTGTTTGTCATTACAACGCGAGGAATTCTTCGTATTCTCCTCATTCCGCAAATACCAAAGTAATATTCATGTCACTCGCTGAAAATGAAAGTTCTCGCAGCGATCGCTTTTCCCAGCCGCCGTAAATAAAAATTAATCTCGCAATTCTGCTCTCTCCGGCGTTTCCCGATACAAACTCTAGCAGTCTGTCACTCGATTCGACGAATCGACTGTTCTTTGTTCCTCCGTTTTCCTTTTTTCTCCCTTTTCGCAGATTGTCAATCTCGCGTGCAATGAAAATATAGAATGCGGGAATGTTGTTTCGCTGTGTTTGTTCTGTAACTTTCAACGACAACATTGTTATCGCTGAACGTCGTCGCACAATTATTATATTATGTGTCATTATATTTGCATGATGATGCGTAAGGAAACGACGTGCGTTAGAAAATTATAGAATACGTCCGTTGCGATCAATGAACAGTGATGACGCGTAAGGGCTAAGACAGAGAACAAGACATAACTGTCGTAGTCGTGGATGTAAAGTAAAGCAGAGAAAAATGTAAACGTAAGATAAATATCCCAATGCTCAGACATGTACCTAATTCCGGACACTCTTATTATTTTGAATATTTCTCTAAATATTTTATCTTTCAACGTTATCTTTAAACTAAATATAAGTATTAAATGTATGTATACTAATATGTATGTATTGTACGTTGAAAGTAGAAATATTCATATTCAAATATAAAAATAATAATGTCCGGAGATTGGTACATTTATCTTAAGTCATGAAAGGCTATTAGTCTCTCGTTCTCTGCCTTAGCCCTAACTCGAAACGAAAGTGGCTGGTCGAAAATCGATCTGTCGAATGACGCTCGAGCTATCCATCGATTGATCGATCGATAATTACGCGGAACGGAGCCGATAGATGGCGTCGTTGTAGCGCAACGGCGCGAACTTTCGCGGCGTACGATATCGGTTGCGCGCGCATCTTCGTTCTCTTTGCGACGAGCAGCGGCCGTTGACACATCGATCGACATCGCTCCGCATTTTGCGCGTCCTTTACCTGTCGAAAGTGAGTTCCCGCGCGGAAATAAGTATCGGGAGTGCTGAGAACAGCGATCTGTGATCGTCGGGACGTAAGGTGAGTACCTTATTTGTGTGTAATCTCCTTGTTTTTGGTAAACATAACCGGCGCATGCCGCGACGTGTCAAGCCTGCGTCTATCATTCATTGTTATCTTCGACTCGTTCAATTGGTAACAGAATCGAGCGATCGTCGGATTTTATTAGTCGGGGATTAGAGATGCAGCGATAATCAGGACGAAAAGAGAAAGATAAAGGGCCTCTTTCCAACCTCTTAGAGCCGGTTTTTTTCAGTGATAGTTTAAACTTAGATTTCAACTTAAACTCTGTTTAAACAAAACAAATGCGTTGTTAAACTTGAATCCAAGTTTAAACTGCTATTGAAAAACCGGCCTTTAATAAGTTAACTAAGGCTTGGTCTACAATATGCGGAATAAGCCGTACGAATTAACTAATTATAGTTGATTATTACAAAATAATCAGCTATGATTGGCCTATTCTTACGGCTTACGACACTTGTTGTATTTAGATCATACTTAACAGTTAACTCATACGTCTGTTTTTGTTTTTTCTTTAAAGTAGACAAAGATAGACGTATGATTTAACTGTTAGCTTATCAAGAGGTTGGAACAATTCGTCCAAAGTAACGCCGAATGTGCGCGGCATCGAATCTCGGGTGGTAACGTCGGTCCGCAAAAATAGAGAGAGAGAGAGAGAGAGAGAGAGAGAGAGAGAGAGAGAGAGAGAGAGAGAA